AGAAATATCTCCATTTTTACATGAGCTGCTCTGCAGGCAAAGTTAGGGTGTGTATATGTGTGAGTGCACACACGTGCATCCATTTTAAACAAAATGAAAGGTGGACAGGGGAGTACTTGGACTCTAAGAAATCCTTCCTATGTGCTCTGTTTATAAGGTTTCCTTTTCCTAGTGCAGCCACCTTGTTTCCCTAATGATGTAACCTCCTTAACCTCATCTCTAAACAGGATGGAAAGATCTTCTGCCGACGGACAGCTTGTGATTGCCAGAATCCAAGCGTTGACCTTTTCTGTTGCCCAGAGTGTGACACCAGGGTCACAAGCCAATGTTTAGATCAAAATGGACACAAGCTCTATCGAAGTGGCGACAATTGGACTCATAGCTGCCAGCAGTGCCGGTGTCTGGTATGTCAGCTTCCCTTAGAATATTTTCTCCTTTTACTCTGGAAAGGTTGCAAACTCAGTTGCTTATGGGTTTTAGTTTCTGCTATTTTTGATCCTATTCAGGAAACTTGAGTCTTGTGGCTACTACGGGGCATATGCTCTGCCTAAAGACATTCAGATTCTACTATTTAAAACAATATACAAAGACAGGGTGGGGGGATGGGTGATATAGCTGACGGGGACAAAGGAGTGCACTTCTAATGAGCACTGGGTGATGTATGGAATAGTTGAAATCACTATACCATATATCTGAAACCAATATAACAGTGCATGTTAACTGTCCTGGAATTAAAACACAAAACAAAAAAATCAATGTACAAGACTAAAAGAATGTGTTTATGGGTCAGATTTGGCTCAACTTATGTTAGTTTACACCTACTTTTTGGCAAGTCCAGATGAAGCAAAATCTCTGCATGATAGAAAACTTTCAAAGCCTTGACCGGGACTTGTAGTTCTTAAAGAGCCAAATCTTTGATTTCTTGGGACCTAACCATTAAAAGTTTCAATAGGAGACATAACAGAACATGGTAGAAATATCAGGGATGGAGTCATAGAGACTTAGAATTCAGTCTTGCTTCTCCCACCTGCTAGCTCTGTGTTATTAACTCGGGCAAATCCTCACCTTGCACTGATCATTCTTTCCTTGTACACAAGTGGAATACCAATTTTGTAGGACTGTTAGGAAGATGAGAGAACATATGTGAAGTGCAAATACAGTGCATGGCACATAGAAGGTACTTAGCATACAGAAGTCACTACTGATAACATTTTCTAGATGTTTCAGATGCTAAACCTTCATATAGAACAAGTAGAGGTAATTTTAGATCTTCATATAAAGATACTAATGGTATATAATCAGATTTGAGAATGTCCGAAGAATTTCTGGACCTAGTTCTTTCTCTTTCAAATCATACCACAAAGTTTTCAAAGGATGCAAAGACTGTTAGGCTATATAATCCTAGTGAATCTTATGTTCCTTCTTTGGGGGAGTCATAACTATTGGAACCAAGTCACAACCAAGTCTACTTGTAATAGAACCTATAAGCAGCATTCCATACTTTAACATTTTCTAATATTAGTGATTTAGTCCGTGAATACTGTATGAAAACAAGCATTTAGAGAAATTGTACTGTAAATTTCTCTCAGATTTTCTAAAGTCTCCTGGTGAATGTGCAGATCATCTTAGTAGAATACATTCTTCTGAATCACCCCTAATACTGAGGAGTAGAATTCAGATATATTCAAATCAAAGCCATTTTTTTTCAAGCTCCCATCTGAGGGCAACTGAACCCAACACAACTATATCAGTCTGGAAAATTGCATTTCTTTTTCAAGAAGTCAGTCATCAGGCACTTAGAAGAATTGGGATTAATTTCAGACATGAAATTTTCATTGAATTTCAGAAGTGTTTCCATGTCCATCCCTAGCCCCTAAGGCTAATATCTCCTGGGAAAACTGAAGATGTTGAACACGTAGCTTAATAATTATTTGAGTATACTGTGGGTCATATTTACTAAATAGACTCTGGATGATATAATGGTGAGCATGATAGACCTTGTCTGTTATGTAGCTGACCAAATCGTTAGGCGTGAGTTTTCATAAATTATAATGAATTTCCATGATAACTGAAGAGGCAGCTAGAGAAATAGTTATAGGCAGCTCAGTGGAGCCACAGTTGCCAGACTCTGAAACACACAGAGGTTCCATCTGAACTATAATACCTTGCTACATGTTAGTGATGTCACATTCAAAACCATTCTGAAGTAGTTCTCCCAGTCTCAATTTTAAACTTGATACTAAGAACTCAGTTTATGATGTTGTTGAAATATTACAGTGCTTCAGGTTCCACTTTGACCTTAAGAGAAGTTAATTTCTCTTAAGACACTAGCCATCACCTTACCACCTATGCACTTATTTGTTCATTCAATTAGCATTTTTTTTTTACCAAAACTGTGCTAAGCATCAGGGAGATAAAGAAACAAGCCCAAAGCCTAAATGCTCAAAACTTAATCTGGAGTTGTACTGATAAGGAACATAAATGTGATGATAAAAAATAGTTATGGGGTGCCATTGGTACACAGATGTGGACCTGCCTTTTTCTCAGGCTGCAGTATAGACAGCAAAAGTACCATGGAGGAGGTGATATCTAATCTATAGGAGCTCTTCAAGGAGGAAGCACATTATACCCATAAAGGTGGAAGTAGAAACATACAGTGAGGACAGTGATGATAATTACTGTCCCTCCCCACCCCCGGCAGGACTTTGGGAGCATAATTGTTCATAAGGATAAAGATAAACCATTTCTGGCTCTCTCTCTACAGGAAGGAGAGGTAGACTGTTGGCCACTCACTTGCCCCAATCTGAGCTGTGAGTACACAGCCATGTTGGAAGGGGAGTGTTGTCCCCGCTGTGTCAGTGACCCCTGCCTGGCTGATAACATTGCCTACGACATCAGAAAAACTTGTCTGGACAGCTATGGCATTTCAAGGCTGAGCGGCGCAGTGTGGACAATGGCTGGATCTCCCTGCACAACTTGCAAATGCAAGGTAATTGGATGCGGGAGGTTCATTCCTGATGTTTCTGAATGCACAGGTTCTGAGGGGCATGATGGAAACACAGGCAGGCATTTCCATCTCAAGGGAGGTTAATATGTCTGAGTGGATCGGAGCCACACTGTGTATATAAGTAAATTCCAAATGAACATGGACTAAAACAGTCCTCTCTCTTGCCTTTGAATTACAGAATTTTAACAATTGACACTAGGTCCAATTATGGCTGATTTAAGCTATTTTGGCCTGCATATTAAAAAGGAAAGAAAGAAAAAAGATCTCTTTTTCATGCTGGAAAAATTTATAAGCCCTTTCATGAAACTGTCAGTGTTAGAAGAAAGTGCTCTATGAAGTTGTTTGCTTTAATTATCACAGTATCTAATGCAGGGACTTGAAGCTCTTGCCGAAGGATTTAATTGTGATTATTTTCCTGTCATTTTGGAGGAATTCCCATGAGCGATCCTCATACGTCTTTGATATTAAAAACTGACCCCTTCCTCCCTACAAAGCTTGAGAAGAGCTATGGCTACAGCTGACTTGAAGCTGGGGTTAGGCAGCCATCTCTGCCAAAACATTGAAGATTCTCCTGATGAAGCACATTTAAAATATTAGTCTATTCGGTTCTGTCAAATCCTGGCTCAGTTTCAGCTATCAGTGGAAGGTTCCCAAGTCATCTCTTTATGGCTATTCTAAAGGTGGATTCTTTTCTTTTTTCTGGAAAGTACCATCTTTAAATTCAGCCCCAATAGGAAAAGGCCCATATCAACCTGCACATAGCAAAAGAGCCACAGTCCCATGTGTACTTTCAAGCCCCAGTAAACTTAGCGACCAGGGGATGTGGAGACCTGTGTTATGTATTAGTATTTCTTTGCGGTCAGGTTTGAGATTCATTTAGGGAGATTATCAAGGTGTATTAATTTCCATTAATTTATATATCTAAATATGTACTGTTCCCTTCATAGTCACCACTGAGAGACTCTGTTCCTATTATGCAAACCTTTCTGGAACCCATTTTGGAGTTGCCTTCATGTTCTTCTACTTTTGATTTGCTTTGTCAATGACAAATTATCTTTGAGGGGTATGTTTTTGAAAACAATTTTATTTAGAATAAGTCCGGTGACTAAGTTGCGTGAACAACCTGGAAATACAGGGGACAAATCCCAAACATGGTTTGGGAGGTATAAACTTGCACTGCCAGCAGGAGCCAGCAAAGGGACTCAAGAGGATCTCCTATGTCTTTCCTTCCCCCACCTCCTCTAGCATTTTTCTGGTAGTTTTTCAGTAGCATTCATGGAGCTTATCTCAAAATGGAGATCGTCATTTTGGATATGAAAATGCACACTGCTGATTTATATCCTCTGTCTCAGTTGGCTAACGCTTTTGTCTTGATGCACAGAATGGAAGTGTCTGCTGTTCTGTGGATTTGGAGTGTCTTCATAATAATTGAAGTATTTAAAATGGACTCATCATTGCGGGAGAAAAATGGACGAAATGACCATCCAGCATGGTGAAGAACAGGAATTGGTGTTTTGTTTTTTTACCACAATTACCAAAGTCTCCATCTGAGGAAGGTGTTTGGGGGTTGCCTTTTGGATCTATCACTTTGTTCATTCTTGCTAACCTAGTCTAGGTGACCTACAGTGGTTGTTATAAGAAGTTTCCCGTGTTGTAAATCACGTTTCCCTCATCAAATCATTTGCAAATACATTTAAATGATCTCATGGTAACTGTTGATGTGTTTTTTGGTTTATTTTGTGTACTAACATAATAGAGACTCGGCTCTTTTTATTTATTTTTTTCTTGAGTTTTGGATCAAATTCTACAAATAAAGTTGCCTGTTGTGATTCTGTCCCATCCACTGCATACTTAGTATCGAGACCCCTGTGAAATGTTTTGATGAATGTATGTAGAGTCTAACTGAATCATACTTACATTTCAGACTGTTGAACACACTTAGATGCTTACTCATTCAGTTTAAACAAGGTGAAAGAAATTCTGATATAGTAAAGAGGGGCAAGGCCACAAACATGATTATATAATTATTGTTAAAAGAACTTTCTCCTCCCTCTTGCAAATAAGACAAAAGCTTAAGTCACAATTTAGAAGCAGCAATACTTACCACCTTTCCAGGCACTGAAAAATTGATAACTTACAAGGGACTTGCATATCTATTAATTCAAGTTATCATCCTAGCACAGGTGAATGGTGTAATTCCTGCATTACAGAATAGTAAATTAATGGCTCCTGAGCAACAGTTTGTTTGGTTGACTTATACCATGTTGGGACTGGTGGCCAGCTCTCCTAATGCCTGCCCAGTGCTATTTTCTTCTAGACCACACCACCTCTCAGGTGGTGAAGGAGGCACCTTTAGGAAAAGTTACTTGTATGTTCAACAGTTCTTTTAGAACAGTGAATGTTTTTATTTGAGCCACCAGCATATTTTTAAGAGTTGGCAGTTATTGAGTGGTACAAAACGAATAAAATGTGTAAATAACATTTTATCTGAGCTGAGAATTCAAACTTAGGTTGTAGTTTCAGTTAAATCACGTCATAGTGGTTTATAATACCTAAGGCTCTTGAATTCATTATTATTCTGAATCAAGTTGTTTCATGAAGTTTTATTCACTTTCCTAGTATCAAAAAAGATGTTAAGTCATTCATGCTAACAATATTTTAAATCCCCCAAAATAATAAAATTATTCATTAAAGATGACAAGCTCAGATTACCATTGTTCATTGATATTTGCCAGAGATTCTACTCAATATCAAATATTTTTGCAAAGATGGAGTTCACTACATGAAATTAATTCCATGTGAATTAAATTATGTCAATAGTTTAAATACTGTATTTGACAACTACTGTTAAAATGTGGTAAGTTAGAAGATATCTCTCCTTTAACTCCTTAAATGCAATCATGGAATGGAAAACTTGAAAATGATTCTTTTAAAAATACGGGTGCCTGGGTGGTTCAGTCAGTTGAGCATCCGACTTCAGTCAGGTCATGATCTTGTGGTTCACGAGTTTGAGCCCCGCATCAGGCTCTGTGCTGACAGCTCGGAGCCTGCTTCAGATTCTGTGTCTCCCTCTCTCCCTGCCCTACCCCTGCTTGCTCTCTGCTTCTCTCTCTCTCTCAAAGAAAACACATTATGACCCAGTATTAAAAAAAAAAAATCTTAAGGGGCACCTGGATGGCTCAGTTTGCGATCCTGCAGTTTGTGAGTTTGAGCCCTGCATCAGGCTCTGTGCTGACAGCTCAGATCCTGGAGCCTGCTTCAGATTCTGTGTGTGTCTGTCTCTGAAAAATGAATCACATTAAAAAATGTTAATTTAAAATTATTAAAATTAAAAAATTAATTTTCATTGGAAAAACGAAGACATTTACAAGAATCATTCATAACTGTATAGGTCAGTGTTGGCAAATTACGGCCCTGGTGCTAAATCTGCTTCTATACTTCCCTGGAACACAGCAGGGACCATTCATTAATACATTCTCTACTGCTGAAGAGGTAGAATGGCAGAACTGAGTAGTTCCAACAGAGACCTCGTGGCTCACTTGGTCTTGCCCTCTACAGAAAAAGTTCACCAGCCTCTGGTAAAGAAAATGACTAACACTGCTGTGTATTTTAGAATGGGTTTCCATTTTTACCAATGAATTTTCAAAATTTCACCACTGTCTTTACTGCACAGCCATCAGTGTTGATGGCTCATCCTAAAATAGGGTTTTTTTGTTTTTTGTTTTTATACAACTACAATCCTAAAATGTCAGTATTTTCTTCATTTCATTTTAGATCTGGTGGGTAAATGTAACCTGTGCCAACTTGGTAACATGTTATTGATATTTAGTAGCACAATTTACACTACTGCCAGCTCCTATCAATAAGGGGTTTGCTTCCTATCAAATAATTGATGACATTTTCTTATCAAAAATTATTGAGTGCTTTATACATAAGATACTCCGCTACGCTCTGCTCAGAAAATAAAGATGAAAAAAATTGTCATTAAAGTTCACCATTATGTGAGCCTTTAGAGGTGTTGAGGATCTTTGAATCTATTAGGGGATCCAGTTGAAATAACTGCTTGAAATACCTTCTTGATTCAGAAATTTTAAAAAAGTTACTTTTTTAAAAAAATGTGGTAAATCTCTTGATGGAATTTGGTTAAGTCTTGTTCTATGATGTGGAATGTAAAATGGGTGTCCATTTAATGAAACAAAACTATATTTAACAGATCTGCCTCCTTACAGACCCTAACCATTGTCTGCTCCACCACAAGGGTCAAGAAGCTAACACACAGTCTGGTAAGAAACAATGATCAATACATAAGTGTTTAGCTACCTTCCAATTACCTGTAGTGTCAAAACATTGTGATTCAGGAGAGTAGAATATGAGGGGAGATGAAAGTTCTATGAACTAGATAAATCTATTAAAACAAAATTTACCTCATCTATGTTGCATATGAAATATATGCATATATGCATGTGTATTATATATGTTTTATATATAAGTAGAATATCAATATATAATATATATTCATGTGTGACCTATAATGCATATATTTTAATATTTATATTCATATATAATATGTCTATGTGTGTGTGTGTATACACACACACACACACACACACACACATACATACATACATATCACCAGACTTCCCCTCTTCTGAGCTTTACACTTCTGTGCTTATGTCACTATTGTGGACTTTTAACAGACTATATAGGCTAGCCTATGTACAATCTTCATCTTATACCATCCAGCATAGTGCCTTGCATAGAGTACATCTTCAATTAATTGTAAAAATTGAATTCATAATCATCTTTTACAGTATCAAAAAGTTATCATCGGAGAGTGGAGACAATCCACTCTAGTGGCTTTCAAATGTTCTTAAGCAGTAAGACCTGTTTGAAAAATCAAAATGTATTCTGTGCTCCAATATAAAAATTCAGGAAAAGCAGTTTCTCTGTTTGGAGCAAGGGTTGAGAACCCCTTCACACATGCCACACCATAGCTCACAAACTTCAACAGCACGGTTTCAAAGTCATTGACCTGAACTTCATCTTCACCTCTACAGATGAAACCAACACTCAGGTTAAGTGACTTGCCCAGAGTTCATAATTCATCTTAGACCTAGAGCTACCACCCAATCCACATGGTTTTCCCTGTGCTGTCCTGCTAATGACCCCAAATGTTTTCCCACATTTCATTTTCAAGTGAGCTTTTCTTACTCCTTCTAAATGGATGACATTAAAAGACAATCATTGAGGAACTTCAATATCTGTAATTGTCTCTGTGTTCTGTATTCCTCCTGATTGTGATATTGCCTTATGAAATTCAGGTACTAAGAACTGAGAAACATTCTAATTAAAAGCCTGACAGCATGCCTAAACCCACAGTAGTAACAAGCCATTTTACCCAATCTCATGCTCTATAGGAAAATTTTAAAATACAATTTTTGTGAGCACAATTCATTCCAGAAACATGCTTGTAATCCAAAGCACCTGTATATCAAAGTGAACTTCCCCATAAAAAATAATGGAAACTCAGATGACTCATTCCACAACTCCAAAATATTCATATAAAAATGATTATAATACTGCAATATAATACAAAATAATAAAGAACATATAAAATATAAAGCAAAATAAATTAACCTGCACTTACCTCTGAAAACCTTCATGGCTGGTTTAAGGGAGACAAGATAGAGGAGGGTTATTGTGTAGGACGACTTTTCATTATCACTAATAGAACCACTGCTACCTGTTGGCTCAATGGAATCTTTTTCTGCATGGGGGACATTGTATACAATAAACTCTTGTCATATACTGTATTTAATGTAACTGTCAATAAGGCAGCAGAGGAAAGGGTTTATATCTGTAGGCAGCCTGGCCTAGAATGAAGCAAAGCATTCCTAAGCTTACTCTTGTATGGAAAAGCAAAGGACTATCCATAGGTGTTTTGAAGTGACAAAAAAATACAGTAGTTCCAGTTGTGGGGACCTTCCAACATTCTTAAAAGTTATTTATGCCAGACACCAGAGCCTGAGACCAAGCATCAGCAAGTTACTCGCAATCTAAGATTTTACTGTACTCCTTAAAGTTAACACACACACACACACACACACACACCCATCAGAATACTACAAAATCTGGCACTGAAAGGCGATCTTGCGTATAGTCTGCTTTCTGATATTATTCATTTGCCCATTTACATTTTTTAATGTTTATTTTGAGAGAGAGAGAGAGATCATGAGCGGGAGATGGTCAGAGAGAGAAATAATCCCAAGCAGGCTCCACACTGTCACCATGGATCCCATGACCTGAGCAGAAATTGAGTCAGATGCTTAAACAACTGAGCTGCCCAGGCACCCCACACTATTGCTTTAGTAAAGAGCCAAATGAATATAAAGGAGGGAGGTGGGAATACTTCTTTTAAATGCAAAATAAAAA